GGTTTACTTATAATGTGTACAAACCAAAGTTTTATAATATAAAACATCTAAAATTTTGTTAAAATTATACATATATTTGCAATCCTACAAAGAAGGAAACTCACTGTTTCTAGTTATAATCTATTATTTAATATTGGGATTACTAAGGGTCAACACTTTTTGGGCATTCTGTGGCGAGTTATAAAATTGCCCTTGTTCCAAGGTAATTAGGAAAGAAGAGTTTACTGACTGCTTCTTTAAAGATATCGCCTTTTTTTTAAAATGGGGATGTCCAAGGTTGCATAAAACGACACCTTATAGTCATTTTCTATATGATAATCCTTTTTTTAATTTATATTCTTGTTAGAGAATTGAAAAAGATTTGTTCTAGATAGAAGTCTAGACTGTTAATCATCCTAATGTGATTAGATTCATGCCAGAAGTGATTAGATTTGCGCAATAATTAGTGTTTATAAACCGGTTAATCGGTTAACCGAAGAACCGGTTTTTATTGCATATTTCGGTTTTTCGCAAACCGGTTTTTTTAAAACATTGGTTTTCGGTTAACCGGGTTATCCGGTTTTTAAGTCTCGGTTAACCGATTTCAAAAAAATCTAATTTTTAGTACAAAATTGTATGTTTTCTTTGATTTTTTATTGTGATTTTTAAAAATTTTGGATAGTTGAGATTGTTAAACAAATGTGAGGAAATGTTAAACATATACTATGCATATAAAATGGAGATTTACAATTTCAGACAATCAGGAAATTAGTAAAAAGTTGGCATTTAAACCAATAAAAAATTAAGTATTTAAACAAATTCCAACCATTATATGAAGAAATTTGTTACTTATTAAGACGAATAAATAACGTTGATTATAAAATGCACTTCCTTGTTTACTGCGTGAGTATAATAAAAATCGAGAAGTTTGTCAAACGTTCTCAAAACGGATTTTATTTATCGAAACATAAGGGTAATTGTCGCTGTCCTAGAATTTATGCTTCTGGGGTTTTTCACAAACTGTAATGGCGCTTAGGTTGATTATCAGGAAGTAAGTAAGGACACCTGTCAATATTCCTAAGTGTCATTCACAGTAATTTGAACAACCACAGGCGTAGCGAGCGGAGGGTGGTCACAATTAAAGCAGTGGCTCAATGTCTATGTCGAGACAGTCGTCGTCTACTTCCGTTCCCGATGAATCGTCGCGAGCCTGAACTCTATTTATACTAGTGTTGGACATAAAATTTTTTATTGATATAGATGCATTATATATTCAAAGGTCAATTTATTCCTCCTATGGCAACTTCCATATACCTGACGAATCAATAATAACTTCAGATCTGTATAAGTTTGCTTTCTTATGATATATTAATGTACATATTTATACTAAAAAGTGCAAATATCTTATTAAGTAATTCATAATATTTCGCAAAATGAAATTTTTCAACTAAATATTATAATATTTTAAAGATTTCCAAACATTTTGGTTAACCGGTTTAACCGGTTTTTTTGTACTCGGTTAACCGACAAACCGGTTTTTTAGAAATGGTCAATTTTCGGTTAACCGAAAAACCGGTTTTTCCAAAAGTCGGTTTTTTATAAACACTAGCAATAATTTTGGTACAAGAAAAGTACAAAATTTATTCCAAACTATTAGGTGGATGTGGGACATATAATTCCATATGTTCTAAGCATGGGCACAGACGCACAATGCCCTCTCCAATATAGCGGTATGTAGGCTAAAAAATATCTAAAGAAAATTGCAATTAAAATAGAAATAGTCGAAACAAACACACAATCATTCATTCAATAGAGAGTACACCTTTCAAGAGACCAAGAGGCAGACGCAAGACACGATTAAAGAAAGAAATGAAATAAAAAACTCAAACCTATTTATTTGGTGGCCATCAACACCCATTAACATTTTTGTTTTGCATTTGTTTTTTTCATACGTTTTGTCTTTTCTTTTGTTTATAAGCACAGCAGACTGTTTTTATATAAATATTTATTTACTGTAGCTTGCCAAAATTATTTCATTTTTTATTTTGTCTCCGCTATTCTATTTATTTATGAATAAATTAAACAAATAATTAAAAAAAAACTAAATAAAAATATAACAGCCAGCCATCAGCAGCAGCCCTGTCGAAGGCAGCGTTTTGATTGGGGCAGCAAAAGTAATCAAAAGTCAAATGAAAAAAAATTATCAACTAGCACTTGTCTATATAGGTACTATACACATCATAATATTTATTACAAATTTGCCTTCTATCTACAACAAACACACAAGATAGATCACTTCCAACCAATCAAACAAATAATGTCCATATATTATCATCTTCATCATCCGCTCGTTTATCTTCGTCCCCGTAATTGTAATCAACAACATTGCATGCATATTTTTGTTTAATAATATGTACACTTTTTTATTAATTATATTTTTTCATTACTTGTATTCCATTTTTTTGAGATTTATTGCAAAAACGCCAAACTAAAAACCAAAAAACTATACAACTTTCACTTTGATGTTGGTTTGGGTCTTCCTAAAGTACGTACAATAATTATTTTTCTTCTTTTTTTTTTTTTTGTTTTCCTGCTGCACTTTTTCTTATTATTTACATTAGGCAATATACAACAAAATTTTTTTCTTTCGCTTTAAAATATTTTTTTGGTATTTACCCTTTTGATTTTTTTATTTACTTTAATTATTCATGATTTCGTTTATTGTGTACTTTTTAGCTGTTATTTATTTAGTAGGGGATTTAATTATGTGAATTAAATTTAATAAATTTTCCTGTAAATTTACAAAACGAAAATTTTTTACACTGATATTTTCTTTTAACCAAATTCTTGCGTTTTACGTTTTGTGTTTATGATTCTTGCAAAATATATGTCGAGATTAAACGGCCTTATCGACGTGAAATGTCAGAAAGGTGATGGAAGTGAGAAATGTAAATAATAAGAAATTTGATAGAGTTACCACATTAGTTCAGTGTTAAAATCCGTTATATCCCACTCAGTCCGAAGCCAAATAATAAATATAAATTGAATGAAATACCTGTTCGTTCTATTGTGTTTTCTAACCCTTGTATTAATTTCGTCAACAGACTTTGCTCTTTAGAGAATGTTTATTTTTCCTTTTAACAAATATCATTCCAAATAATCAAAATAATTATCTTTTAAATTCTTTTAAATTAATATAAATTAAATTACTTATTTCTATTTTAAGCACGATTGTGCTTAAGGTTATACGTTAATATAGAGACGATCTTTGTTATTTGAAAAAAAAAATAAATAAATTTGAATGGATTTCGGCCGCAATTCTAAAACTACTTATCTTCATTCGGTCTGTAATAACAAATTTAATATTTTTCATAGGTTTTGATTACAATTATTTCAAGTATTTTTAATTAATATCAACAATTATTATATGATGTCTTTTCTTTGGTTTCGGATTAAGCAAAAAACGGATAAAGATATTTTAAACTTTTTTTGAAAATAAAAAATATTATATTTTGCTTTGAACATAAACTACAATTAATCGATTATTATTATTATTATGTTAACACTTAATGAACACTGACTAATGTTATTAATTAAATGTTAAGCCAAAAATGTTTATAAGTGCAGGTATACACAAGCAAATTTTTTTTGAAAAACTTTTGATTTTGTGTGTGAGAGAAATAGAAAGAAATATCACTCGGAAACTTGTTTTGTTATTCATCTCATTCGTACAAAAAACAAATCAACACGTAGTTGCTAAAACAAAAGTTTCTATGTATAGACATTAAGGAAACTTTAAAAGAGATTTTAGAAAAAGTTTTTCAACTAAAGTTTCCTTGTGCAGACCAGGACTTATATTACAGTCAAAATTGTTTTATATCAAACAGAATTATATCAAACACGTTTTTAACGAATTCTCGGTTTTTATGAACTATTTTTCAAATCCCGAAATTTTGGTAACTATTTTCACAAAAAAAAAAAAAAAAAATTCAAATGCATCTTTTTATAGTGCGTCGTATGGATTCGCACAACACATTTAAAGAATTTTTTGAGTTTTTTAAATCATATTTTAAGAGTCTTTGTATTTTCTGCATATTTTATAAATTTTATAAGCATACTTTTAGGTTTTACTGCATATTTAATGCGCAATTAACACATTTTTTTGGAGATATTTTTGGATTCAATACTTATAACGAATCTTCGGTTACAACGAACTACTTTTTCAGCCCTCAAGTACAATTTTCTAAAATTTTCCTTTTTTTATAACGAACTTCAAAAATTGTGTGTTGAAATCATATGAAAATATATAAAGGGTTTTCATTTAAACGCTTAAGTTTCCCATTTGTGCAAGTGGGCAAGTTTATTCGACTTGTTTCATGAAACCCCTGTTCAAATTCTGTTCAATTACAATATTTATAAACATTTTACAGCAATGTCAAACGAAATCAAAAAATAAATTATTTTAACAAAAAATTTTACAAAATATGTTAAAAATGTGAATATTCAAGTCCATAAATTCAAAAGTGAACAATAGTGAACATATTTATTAAATGCACAATGAGTTTGCTCAAGTTTGACAGTCTAAAAAGTCGCTCAAACTTATAAGGGTCGTGCAAATCAATTTTCATACAATTCAATTACGAGAGTTTTGAACGTTTAAATGAAAACCCTTATAGAGCTTTGTTTAAAAAAAATTAAATTTGTTATGAAATATGTATATGATATATTTATAATTATAATTAGTATGTATATTTATAATTCATTTTATTTTAATTGCTGAAAATATTATATTATATTCTGATTTACAAAAACAAGTTACAAAAAAAGTCTTCCCCGGAGTTCGTAATAAACGTTTGACTGTATAAAAAACGGTATCAAGTACCGGACATTTTATAGATTTTTAAAATAAATTTTCTTATATTGTGTAAATACATCTAGAATACGTATATAGAGAATACATATATAGATCTGGCAGCCCTTTTATTTGAGTAAATAAAAACCATTCACAATAGCGTATAATAAGTGCAGGGTTGTATATGTCGATAAGACCGTGCCAAAGTGCAAGAGTACGATTAAAAAATCATTAATTAACTTAATTTTTAACTAAAGTATTTAAAAATAAACGAAATTAATAAACATTATTTTTAAAAGTGTTCTAAATTTTATACATTTACAACAAAAGAAAGTTGTAAACAAAGCAACAAACAAAACAATTTGAACAATGGCTACAACAATAATTGCAAGCGAACAATGAACACAAAGAGAACAGTGCAATTAAGAAAATAAAAAAACTACTCAACTTAAACGAAGATCACACACTAAGGCAACGAGATTAATTTATTAAAATATTTAATTAATAAAACAACTCAAAAAAATTATAATATTGTTTTAATACAAAGTTAACTACAGCAACAACTAAATAAAATAATTGGCTTATAAATATAAAAAAATTGAAAATTATTTGTTTATAACTAAAAAAACTAAGAAAAAAGTGAAAATTTATCATCAATGTGAAATTTTAAAGGAAAATTCCAAAATTTTCTATGGCTTCACGAACTGTATTTGTGAGCAGTACAAAAACATCTTAAAACCCTTAAATTAATAAAGAAATTATTGTTTATTACACTCAGGAATACCAAGAAATTGTTAATAACTAAAGTTTTGAATAGTTGTTGTTTTTATTTTTCGTAATAAGTAAACAAACAAGTTTATTGTTTAAGTCTTTTTGGAATAATTTGCTGTTGCTGCTGTTTTTTATTGTTACCTTTTTGGGGAGCCTGTTGGTTGGTGTTGTGACCCCAAAAACTACAACATACATAAATTAAATAAAACAAGGTTTTGTTTTTTTATTAATTTACGTGAAAAAGTAATAAAAACATACGAAATGACTTTAAGAACCCGGGCTTTGGTATTCTCTACATTTTTTGGCAGTTGCATAGCCATTGGTCTATTACTGGTCAGTTTGACCACGAATAGTTGGGTGAAGGCAACTCCTAAAAAACGTAACTCAGCGGTAAGTAAATAAGAATAGAAAAAACTAACGAAAGAAAGAGGAGAAGAACAAAACAAACAATTTGTAGCAGCAGGTGGTTGTGTAGTTTTTTGTTGTTGCGGTTTTAGTTTGCAATTATAATTTTTTATTTATTCTTGAGTACAGTAAAATTTTTAATTAAATTGATGACTAAATATTAACATATTCCTCTTCATTAAAATTCTCATAAAATGCTTATTAAGAAGAAAATAGTAAGCAAACTTTGAGAATACAATATTTTATAATATTCATGAGTTGGGGTTGGAATTTTAGAGAAAATCTTGAAATAGTGACGATATTTATTTATAATTTTAGTGAGATTGAAATTCATTTAGCAAAAAACAGCGCTAATTTGAAACAATAAAAGTTTATGATAATTTTTTTAATATTTTTCTTCTATTTGTCTTAGATTAGCAATTTTATATAAATTTTAACTCAGTGCTTAATTTTTACAGTAAATCTTGGATATTTTTCATTAAATCCTCTGATAGCTTTAAGTTTTTCGGCAAATGATCTTGCTGATCGATATTTATTTTAATTTTTTGAAAGTAAATCTTCAGTTAACTAACTAACGATCTAGCAATTATATATTAACTCAGTTTTTGATTTTTATAGGAACTATTGAATTTGCTTTGGAATTTTATAGGAAGTCCTTTGATAACTTTAGATTTTTTGCTAAATCATATAACGATCTGCTTTTATTTTAAGTTTTTGATTTTATTTAGTAAATACCGATTTAGAGCCAGATTTTTGTAGTCTATAAGATAGATTTCACAAATAATATAAAAATGTGAGAATAAACGATCTACAGTTAGACATCTGTTTAATAAATTGAATACGATTTTAATAACGAAACTAATGAACAATAACAATTTACATAAAAATTTATAAATTTATTTAAACTAAAACGAAGCTGAATTTATTTCTTTATTTCTTTTTAGGAATCATGTGGAGATGTTAGTTATGGCTTATTTTATGGCACTAAGGAATTAGATTCTGGATTTGGAGTGCGCAGTTATCCCGTTGATGGTATGCTAAACTACTGTTGAAATTTAAAGAGACATTTCTTCTTTAAGGGAATAAATTATGCATAAGTTTTGAAAATTACAAAACGATTCTATAGCGCACAATAGGGAAACATTCTATTTTTAGAAATCCGACTTAAAACATATGTATAATCCCTCTCTTAAGAAGAACTGTAAAAGTAATTTAAATTTACCTTTAATCTATAATTTTTTTCCTTTTAACTTTCTTCAACTTTTAGTTTATACTTTCATACAAAATCAACCGGACACCATGAACTTTTGGCTTTGGCTCGTCACAGCTTTGGGTACCGGATTTGGTTTATTAAGTTGTGCCATCTCAGCCATAGCTGCTGTCCTAAAAGCAGCTTCAGCTTCCAAAAAACCTGGCACCATGCTAGTATTAATTGCCTCAAATATATCATCAGCTGCCAGTCAAGTAATGGCTTTTATCTGTTGGCTGGTACAATTCTTTCAATATTTACAGCATAATGTACTAGCGGTGGAGGATCACAAGCTCAATTGGTATAGTCATGGTTTAGCCTCGTTGGGTTATAGTTTTTATTTGATCGTCATCTCAACTCTAGTCGTTTTAATCAATTTAATTATATTACTATATGCCAGACGTTGTGAACATCGTTATCGTCAAAGTCTGGAACCACCAAGTGAGGAAAAGAATCAAAGTGCTATAATGTTGTATTAAAAAATAAAGTAAACAAAGCAAGTTTCATAATGAGATTTGAAAAAGCAATGTTTATGTATAGCGCTTTAAAATGAAAACATAAAAAAAAAACAAACTGAACAAAACTTTCTGTACAATTTATAAATATTGCCTTTATGTTTTTTTCTCTTTGTGTTTAAAGAAAAGAATCTCGTAAATAACTTTTAAATACTTACTCATATACACATATGTTTTTATAATACATTTATATAGAAAATTCATGCTTTATCTTTATAATTTGAGTTTTTTTGTTTTATAAAAATAATTCTTTTAATAAAAATTATATTTCAAGTATTACTTAATTTACTTTATTAAGCAATAGTTTTAAAATCGAATGAATTTGTTTATATTAACATAATTTATTACTCTTTTTATATACCTACTTGCGCATTTATTAATTCCTACTTATTTTTGTATCTTAAAACTTTAATTTTATATAAAAAAAATATATTTTTATATTTTGGATTTTTATTTAACACCATTGAATCTTTTTAAAACATAACTGTACTGAATTTACACGGTTTTTATATTAATAAAATGGTTACTTAAGTCATTTTAAAATGTTAAGTTTTTGAATAAAATATTTTAAGAAAAATAAACTTGTTAATTATTTTGTTTAATTTAAAGGGAGCATTTGTTGACTGATTTATAGAATACACCTGTCGAGTCTATCTACTTATCAATCAATAGTTGAATCTATCCACTAATCTGTAATTGATACTATAAATTCCGATCTATAGACGATAACTAGAAACCAATCTAAAGTAGAAACTAGAGACTGATCTATAATAAAGCCTATAAAATTTTCTATAGTAGAGACTATTGATTGTTCTGTTGTCAAGACTGTAGACTGATCTATAGTCGAAATGTAGACCGATTTACAGTTGGCTGAAGAGTGTAGGCTGATCTATAGACTGTTCTATAGTCAAGACTACAGAGACTGTAGTCTGATCTATAATCAAGACAATTTTAAGTTGAAACTAAAGACAACTATATAGGAGAAACTTTGGACTACTCTATAGTCGACACTATAGACTGATCTATGTAATGGACCTGATCTATATAATAGAACTGTCGAGTCTATCGACTTATCAATCTAAAGTTGAATATATTCACTCATCTGTAGTCGAAACTATAAATTCCGATCTATAGTCGATAACTAGAGACCAATATAAAGTAGAGACTAGAGACTGATCTATAGTAAAGCCTATAAAATGTTCCATAGTAGAGACTATAATTTGTTCTGTTGTCAAGACTGTAGACTCATCTGTAGTCGAAAATCTAGGCCGATTTATATTTAGATGTGGTGTGTAAGCTGATCTATAGACTGTTCTATAGTCAAGACTACAGATACATACATTCGAGACTGTAGTCTGATCTATAATCAAGACAATTTTAAGTTGAAACTAAAGGCAACTATGTGGGTGAAACTTTGGACTACTCTATAGTCGACACTATAGACTGATCTATATAATAGACCTGTCGAGTCTATCGACTTATCAATCAATAGTTAAATCTATCCACTAATTTGTAGTCGAAACTTAAAAAACCCGATCTATAGTCGATAACTAGAGTCCCATCTAAAGTAGAGACTGATCTATAATCAATACTATAAAATGCTCTACAGTTGATACTATAAATTGTTTTGTTGTCAAGACTGTAGACTGATCTATAGTCGAGACTGTAGACTGATCTATATTCAAAAATGTTGACCGATTTACATTTAGCTGTAGTGTGTAGGCTCATATGTAGACTGTTCTATAGTCAAGACTACAAAGTGATCTATAGTCAAGACTATAAACTAATACATAGTTGAGACTATAGTCCGATCTATAGTCGAAACTATAGTCTGATCTGTAGTTGAGACTGTAAACTATAAAAACCTTAAGCAAGAGTTAACGTTTTGGTCTTAAATATAAATTCATAAATAAATTTTAATTTTGTTGAAAAAATTCCGTGTTTCATTTTAAAAAACTTTAACCTTTCACACAAATTAAATTAATATAAAAAACACACTCACTATCAGTTTATCATAAAAATGTTCTAACTGAAATGAAAACAAAAAAAAAATATAACTAACTCTCTTTTCTCGATGATGAACATGATGATGTTTTTAAAAAATATTTCGTTTTTTTATCTTATAACAGTAACCTTTTTGCAGACAGATAAGATATTGAATCAATATATGCGTATCGAAGACCACAATAATAGATAGAATTCTTAAAAATGAAATAATTTATTAGATTTGATATTGATTTCAGTTGAAATAGTTAAGTTTATGTATGGAAAAAGTGTTTAATTTTACGATTTCAAATAAATATATAAGAATTTTAAAATGAATCAACAAAAATTTATTGTGTCCACAACTGTAGTCTCCTTATTGGCTTGTATTTCCTATATAGTGGCCTTAAGTACCGAACATTGGGTAAGTTTTGTATGAATTTAGTTGTTCGATTTGGTTAATTTATTACATATTTTTTAATTTATGTTTGAAGTTGGAAGCTACTGCTGTTTTAACCGATCGTTTGCAGAGCAATGTGACTTATGGTTTATTTAGTGGTTCCATAGAGCGTCATCAATTGGCCTCAACTTTGAAATTCTCATTAACTGGTAATTACAAATGAGAAATTTAAGCAGAGTAATCATAAGAAAATAATTTCCCCTTTTCTGTTTCAGTTGTGTGTCATGTTGACTTAAATGCCTGCATGTATAGCTGTCAAAGGGACGCTGATCATAGACAAGATGAATTAAGGCGAGTCATACATGGCCAAGATCTAGATCCGTGCGAACAAAGGCGTTTCTTTAAAGCCAAACCGTATGTGAATGACAGCACCACGTACTCCCATGACTCAACAAAAACTTCTAGCAAGCACAAAAATACTCCAATCCAAAATACGCCAGCCTATATATCAGCCTCTCTTTATATCTGTAGTGTTATGTTTCTCTGTCTGGCATTCGCTTTCTCTCTTACCTCCCTCATTTGTTCGGCCATCAATTTGAAATGGCATCCTGTTGAACGTATTTTTAACATTTTCGGTCTGTTTGTATGGAATGGTATTGCAATTGTTGGTTGCTTTTGGTCGTTGGCTTTCTGGAGTGCATTATTTGGCAGTCAATTGCGTTATAATATCGCCATAACGGATACTTTACGTCAACAATTGAAGTTTACATCTGAAGGATATGCCAGCTTAGGTTATTCTTACTATTTGGTAATTGTCATCATGGTGCTGCACATCATTAATCTTGTTTTGTTATTCATACGCAACTATAGTATTAGCAAGCAACCGCATCAGGTCCCAAATAATATAACAATAGATGATACAGATGCTAGATTAGAATTTTATTGAAAACCAGTCAGCTAAAAAGCTGACATTTTTATCGGTAATGATTATAAATATAGACAAGTTTTTAAAAGGAGTCATAAATAGGTACATATGTATATTAATCCCTAGATTCAAAACCAGTAATGGAATATTTCATACATACATTTCACACATTATAATCAAATATCTGTCAGTGTTTTGCATAAGATCTAATCTTTATGAAAAATATTTTGTTTTTCCAATATTTTTGGTTAAATTTGAATTATTTTACAAAAATACTTATCTTGTTATTTTCTATAACAATATTTAATTATATAAAATATAAAATTTTTTAATTTTAGTTAAGGTATAAGATTTAGAAAACCACTCTACTTATTAATAAATATATAAATCTAAATATAAACAAAAGTGTAATTTTGGGAAATCGACATTAAATCGTGGTCCATTACACTACTGTCTTCTTCTTTGGAAATTACATTTTTTAACAGACATTTGATTCTAACCTTTTTTGTTAGCTAAACCAGAATTTTGAGAAAATTTCATACGTTTCATATGGTTCACTATCTATCTATCTATCTATCTATCTATCTATCTATCTATCTATCTATCTATCTATCTATCTATCTATCTATCTATCTATCTATCTATCTATCTATCTATCTATCTATCTATCTATCTATCTATCTATCTATCTATCTATCTATCTATCTATCTATCTATCTATCTATCTATCTATCTATCTATCTATCTATCTATCTATCTATCTATCTATCTATCTATCTATCTATCTATCTATCTATCTATCTATCTATCTATCTATCTATCTATCTATCTATCTATCTATCTATCTTCTATCTATCTATCTATCTATCTATCTATCTATCTATCTATCTATCTATCTATCTATCTATCTATCTATCTATCTATCTATCTATCTATCTATCTATCTATCTATCTATCTATCTATCTATCTATCTATCTATCTATCTATCTATCTATCTATCTATCTATCTATCTATCTATCTATCTATCTATCTATCTATCTATCTATCTATCTATCTATCTATCTATCTATCTATCTATCTATCTATCTATCTATCTATCTATCTATCTATCTATCTATCTATCTATCTATCTATCTATCTATCTATCTATCTATCTATCTATCTATCTATCTATCTATCTATCTATCTATCTATCTATCTATCTATCTATCTATCTATCTATCTATCTATCTATCTATCTATCTATCTATCTATCTATCTATCTATCTATCTATCTATCTATCTATCTATCTATCTATCTATCTATCTATCTATCTATCTATCTATCTATCTATCTATCTATCTATCTATCTATCTATCTATCTATCTATCTATCTATCTATCTATCTATCTATCTATCTATCTATCTATCTATCTATCTATCTATCTATCTATCTATCTATCTATCTATCTATCTATCTATCTATCTATCTATCTATCTATCTATCTATCTATCTATCTATCTATCTATCTATCTATCTATCTATCTATCTATCTATCTATCTATCTATCTATCTATCTATCTATCTATCTATCTATCTATCTATCTATCTATCTATCTATCTATCTATCTATCTATCTATCTATCTATCTATCTAATCTATCTATATCTATCTATCTATCTAATCTATCTATCTATCTATCTATCTATCTATCTATCTATCTATCTATCTATCATATCTATCTATCTATCTATCTATCTATCTATCTATCTATCTATCTATCTATCTATCTATCTATCTATCTATCTATCTATCTATCTATCTATATCTATCTATCTATCTATCTCATCTATCTATCTATCTATCTATCTATCTATCTATCTATCTATCTATCTATCTATCTATCTATCTATCTATCTATCTATCTATCTATCTATCTATCATCTCTATCTATCTATCTATCTATCTATCTATCTATCTATCTATCTATCTATCTATCTATCTATCTATCTATCTATATATCTATCTATCTATCTATCTATCTAATCTATCTATCTATCTATCTATCTATCTATCTATCTATCTATCTATCTATCTATCTATCTATCGATCTATCTATCTATCTATCTATCTATCTATCTATCATCTTATCTATCTATCCTATCTAATCTATCTATCTATCTATCTATCTATCTACTATCTATCTATCTATCTATCATCTAGCTATCTATTTAAAAATTATATTTTTGAGCCCCTTCTTGAAAAATGGTCCACTGTGTGTCCTAACTTTTCGATCACAATTTCACAACCTAATTTGAAATATTCTTAACTATTTAAATATTTACTTCTTTCAAAAAATTTCGTTGATGCATTAATTTCAATTTAATAAACCAAATGCAAATTTAGAGGGTTGTTTTAAATAAATATTGCAAGCACAATTTTGCAATTTTACATGAAAATAAAAAGTTGCATACATTTTAAAGAATTAATTTGTAATAAATTGAAATGTCACTCAAACTGCGGGTAATAAAAACTACAACAACAACCACAACAAGTATTTAATATTGACTGAGAAAATAAATTGAAACTAATTTCAATAATTCAAACTGATTTTGAACCAATAATAAAAACAGTGGGTGGTAGTCTATTAATAACAGAAACGGAAGTGATCGATTTACTGCTGTGGTTAACAAAAGCAACTAGAAAACATTTACAACAACAAACAGGACCTTATGTAACACTATTGGGATGCTGATAATGTCCCGAGAGAAATAAAAAAAGTGAATTCCCATCAAATGTTACCAAACAATTAGGCCAAAATAAAGAACACCTAATGATGATATAATTTGTTTCTCAACAAACCCTAAATACAAACAATTACAAATAAAATTGTCATAATTTTGTTGCTTATGCAAACAAAAACAACAATATCAAATACTGGACCATACACGTTGAAAATCTTTAAGATTTCAAAACAGGAAAAAAAAGGAAAGAGAACTAAATTAGGAAGTAACTGCCAGACAAATACAAATAAATACAATGAAGTTATGTTAGTGTGTATGAAAGAAAAAGGAAGTCATCAATGTGATGGATGAAGAATTAAATGTTGACATTATTTGTTCCTATTTTGTTTCCCATTCTTTGTTTCTCTTTCCTTTATATTTTTTATAACTATAGTCTGAGTATGTTAAAAAAATAATGTAGTGAGTAGGTTTTCCTTTTCCTCTTTTTAATTTTTTCTAAACAGGATAATTGATTTGTTTGCAAAACACTGCAACAATCCTGGTTTTGTAGAAAATGACTTTTGAGTTTTTTTATTATTATTTTTTACTTTCTTTAATATTTTCAAATTGTGACGTCAACTTGTGAGTTCTGATGTTGTAATTAGCAATTCTTATGAATTGGTTTAGTTATTTTTTTATGAAAGGAAGTTAGTTTTCGTTTCTCGAATGTTGTGACAATTATTTAAGAAATTAGTCTTTTTTTCTGAATTTTTGATGAATACTTAGGATTATTGTTGTTAATGTAGCATGAGCTAATGAAGGATTGATCTATTATTGATATTATTTTCTAATGTGTCATTTAACGAAATTTTCTTAAGAACTTGCAAAAAATTTCAAAGTACAGTACATAGTCCAACCGATCTGACCATCTAGTAAATGGCATTTTTACTAATATAAAAGTAGATAGATGGGAATAGATAGAGAGACTAGATAGATAGATAGATAGATAGATAGGATAGATAGATAGATAGATAGATAGATAGATAGATAGATAGATAGATAGATAGATAGATAGATAGATAGATAGATAGATAGATAGATAGATAGATAGATAGATAGATAGATAGATAGATAGATAGATAGATAGATAGATAGATAGATAGATAGATAGATAGATAGATAGATAGATAGATAGATAGATAGATAGATAGATAGATAGATAGATAGATAGATAGATAGATAGATAGTAGATAGATAGATAGATAGATAGATAGATAGATAGATAGATAGATAGATAGATAGATAGATAGATAGATAGATAGATAGATAGATAGATAGATAGATAGATAGATAGATAGATAGATAGATAGATAGATAGATAGATAGATAGATAGATAGATAGATAGATAGATAGATAGATAGATAGATAGATAGATAGATAGATAGATAGATAGATAGATAGATAGATAGATAGATAGATAGATAGATAGATAGATAGATAGATAGATAGATAGATAGATAGATAGATAGATAGATAGATAGATAGATAGATAGATAGATAGATAGATAGATAGATAGATAGATAGATAGATAGATAGATAGATAGATAGATAGATAGATAGATAGATAGATAGATAGATAGATAGATAGATAGATAGATAGATAGATAGATAGATAGATAGATAGATAGATAGATAGATAGATAGATAGATAGATAGATAGATAGATAGATAGATAGATAGATAGATAGATAGATAGATAGATAGATAGATAGATAGATAGATAGATAGATAGATAGATAGATAGATAGATAGATAGATAGATAGATAGATGATAGATAGATAGATAGATAGATAGATAGATAGATAGATAGATAGATAGATAGATAGATAGATGGATAGATAGATAGATAGATAGATAGATAGATAGATAGATAGATAGATAGATAGATAGATAGATAGATAGATAGATAGATAGATAGATAGATAGATAGATAGATAGATAGATAGATAGATAGATAGATAGATAGATAGATAGATAGATAGATAGATAGATAGATAGATAGAATCTTAAAAAAGGACGAGCTAAAAATTATAATTTTCCCAGGCTAGATGTTTTAAATTGTAATATTTTTAAAAATGACATTATTATTTAAACAATACCCAACCACAAGATACATATGCATATACATATGTACATATATACATATGTATGTACATAAGATTTACATTAAGGATTCAAGATTCCCACACTGCTGGAAATTCGCTAATAGAGTCAATATTTTGGCAACAATACCAGAAAATGGGTAAACAAACATTGATGTATCAATATTTCTGGACCAGCATTGCTAAACATAATAAAAATCTTAAAGAATTATATCTTTGAAAAAAAAGAATAAAACTCCTTCAATGGAACTATAATAAATACACAGTTACAATTACTTTATTTTCCTAAGACAACTCTAACA